TCGTCAAGGTGTTGTCTTGGACCATCAATCATGTTAGCGATACTGAATTGCTTTGTGAAAAATTCTTTATGGTCATGAATACGCTTGCATTCTTCAGGATATTGTCATCCTTTTTTATTTTTTTTTATTTATTTTTTATTATTTTTTTTTGTGGCTAGATGAAGTTGTTGCTTTGACAGATTACTTATCGAAATTTTTTAGCTGATTTTCAAGTATCATTTTTATTGAAGTTTGTGCTGTCACTTGGCCTGTTTGAGCAGTCAAGGTAAACCTTAATGGGTTGAAGAAGTTGATGTTGATTTAGCCATGTTGAATGATGGTTCCCCATAGCGGCTGATGGCGTTTTAGCTTATAGTACTTATCTTGTAATTCCATTTGTGTTTGCCTAGGTTCATTTATGTTGACCAGATTTAAGAGGGGTCAGCCACTGTTGCACTCTCGCAAACCCCTTTGGTGTCATTCATGTTATGTTCTTTTTCTTTTTACTCTGCGCCAATGGGAAGCATAGATGTTGTTAATGTCCTGCATTTCCTTTATCTGATGCAGGAGCAAATCAAGGATGGTTCTAGTGTTTATTTTTAATCTTCTTTTATGTTTTGTTGTTTTCTTTTCTTTTAAAAGGGTATAGTGCTCTTTTTGAACTGTCCAAGTGTTTTCCGACCTGTCTTCTCTATATGGTAGGCTTCTTTAATGAAAAGGAAACTTTTGAGTGATCATTTTTATCTCTTCCTTTATTCCAAGCATGGAGGTTTCTCAGGAAACCTGCTGTTTGGTCTGTAACTAGGGTTTGGCCCTCCCTAGGGGTGTTCGTGGGGCCTATTATCTGCTGTACGGGACTGACGCCTGCTGCCAACAGCCGCATATTTCGGTTCCAGGAGGGAGATAGCTGCTTAATCAGGTTTTTTCCCTATTGTTTTACTTTCATCGGAATTTTGGCAATGTTGTCTTCTCTTATTGGCCTATCTTCTTTGCTGGATAGCACGAAAGGATTTTCTTCCTTTTCTTCAATAGTCACAAAAGACCGATGTTTGGTGTAAGGTTACAGTTTTATTCCATTTGTTTTGTCGTTCAACCTTGACAACAGGGTCAATGACATCTCAAAAGGTTGTAGTTGTACCACGTGGCTTATTGTTGGCCTTAGCCCACCCAAGAATCGATCAATGGAATGCTCTTTCAGTTCGGTTAGGTTGCAATTCTGCCCAAGGCGTTTGAAGTCCGCCACATATTCCTCCACCGTCAAGTCTCGCTGTTAAAGATTACATAAATTTAAGAAACTTCTTGTTGGTAATGCTCTGATAAGTATTTTCTTTGTAATTCTTTCTTCATTTTATCCCATGTAATATTTGACCGCCCTCTCTTTGCCTTGTTCTCTTCATGTTCTCCCGCCAAAGTGATGCATTCTTTTTTAGTTTGATTGCCAATTGATGAATTCTTCCGGATCTAATCTTCCATCGAAATTAGGAATATAAACCTTGATTTCAAAATCTAAATTTTGGCAAGGTTATCTTTTCTTATAGATGCAGTTTGGCCTATCTTACCTGCTGGATACCTTTCGAAAGAAAGAATTTTCTTCCTTTTCTTCAACCGCCTCCTTAATGCCATTTTTTTGTCTCCGATTTCCAAAATTTTGTTGTTCAAGAACAACAAGCCTTTCTTGCAAAAGTTGGATTTCTTGCTACAATTCTTCTACCATCATTTGTTGAATTGTTATAACAGACTTTACTAGAGAGATTGGTTTGTTGAATTTTCTGCATTGTTTATGTAACCGAGATTTTCTAGAATTTATTGAGACTAGGTTCTATAAATTAAATTTCTCTAAAATGAATTTTGTAACTTAGTCTTTCAAAGGGTGTTTGAATTTGATTGCTTCAGTTTTTCTTGGGAGTAATTCTTTATAATAATGTTTCATCTTGAAGAGATTTTCATTATTCAAACTTCCCAGAGAATTTTGGTTCTTTTATATCTCTCAGGACTATGAAATTTTTCTAGGAAGAATTTTTCTGAAACATGACCTCTTTTGGAGTATGTGATTTGATTGTTTGAGTTTTATTTTGTACTAGTTTTTTTATATCTCAACGTTCTCTTGGAGAGGTTTTAATTATCCAAGCTTCCTCGAGAAGATTTAGTTATCTAACATTCCTCAATGTCAGATTTTTGTAATCCAAGCTTCTATGGGAGGGATATTTATACCTAAGGGCTTGTTGGAAGAATTTATTTAGATCAACCAAAATTTGCATAGTGCTTGTTTTTTTTGTAACTTAAACTTGATGGGATTTTCTAATGGCCTCTTCAAGATAATGTATGTTTCAACTTGAAAGTTGTGGCTTTTCTACCTTTAGGTTTTGGTAGACCAAAACTTGTTCAAATTTGCATACTCAATGGATATATATGTCCTAGGCAAAGTCAAATGCTGAGTTTTAGGAATGCTTACTATGAAAGAACGATCATCTAGCTGTGTGAAACTAGCATTACTCTAATTTTTAAACACTTTCTCTTTTTTTTTTTTTTGAAGTTTTGGTAATCTAGACCCAGTCATTATATTTATTTCGAGAATGATATGTTTTTAGGATTTGAATGACTTGGGTTTTGATAATCTAAACCTAGCCATGTTGGCTCAATTGGGATTCTTCAGGATTTGGTGTTTTGCTTGAGCATTTTGCACAAAAGCGATTCAATGTTATGCCTCTTGTAGTTTGACCTGAGGGCCATAATCAAGATTTTTGATAAACAATTTCAATAGAATTTTATCCCTCATCTGTGAATAAGATTGACCTAGAACTATGGAAGAGTTGGTTTCATGAGCATTAATATATATCTTTATATTGTTCAAGAGAACTTTTTCTTTTCAATTAAAATGTTAATGTTGTATAAATAACTCTTTATTTGTAGTCTTCTGTTATAAAAACTAATACCTTTCCTAATATATTAGTTTATTAAACAATCTTCTGTTATTGAGCATTTAAAATTCCTGTTTGTCAAAATACTCATGCGTCACAGATTTGGCACTGTATCATTCAATTTAAAAACAACGGAAATTTGAGCAAAACTAGAAGGTAAAATTTAATTTCCAGTAAACCCCAAACAACAATAGGAAACCAATTTTTTTTTACTGGAAGTAAATATGCGGTTACCATCAAACACGCTTGAATGTAAAAATACAAAATACATGACATGCAAACTCGCGTTAGGGCAGATCCCGGATGAGGGTGGTGCGGTTACAGGACTTGCAGAGATGACACAGCAAGGGCAGCGAGAATAGAGGACTAGAACGATGATGGCAGTGGGTATGGGGCAGTTGGAATGTTGTGGGCTGTCAAAAAAGCAAGAGGGAAGGCCGGCTGAGTTCAGAAAGAGAACAGGTATTGTGGAAGGGAGGTGGTGTGGTTACAGGACTTGCAGAGATGACGCCAAGGTAGGGAAGTGGTTTTCAGGCTGTGAAAGGGGGCGTCAGCGATTATGGACAGTCAGAACATCCGGGTAATAAGGGACGGCAGTCCAAGCAACAGTAGTTGGATAGTATGAAAACAACAAAGGAAAGGTGTTGTGTGCTGCAGCCACGACTGTGGGGTACTGGGACAGCAAGGGCAGCGAGAATAGAGGACTAGAACGATGATGGCAGTGGGTATGGGGCAGTTGGAATGTTGTGGGCTGTCAAAAAAGCAAGAGGGAAGGCCGGCTGAGTTCAGAAAGAGAACAGGTATTGTGGAAGGGAGGTGGTGTGGTTACAGGACTTGCAGAGATGACGCCAAGGTAGGGAAGTGGTTTTCAGGCTGTGAAAGGGGGCGTCAGCGATTATGGACAGTCAGAACATCCGGGTAATAAGGGACGGCAGTCCAAGCAACAGTAGTTGGATAGTATGAAAACAACAAAGGAAAGGTGTTGTGTGCTGCAGCCACGACTGTGGGGTACTGGGACAGCAAGGGCAGCGAGAATAGAGGACTAGAACGATGATGGCAGTGGGTATGGGGCAGTTGGAATGTTGTGGGCTGTCAAAAAAGCAAGAGGGAAGGCCGGCGGCTAACTCAGAAAGAGAACAGGTATTGTGGAAGGGAGGTGGTTGGAAAGAGGAGAACTGTAGAAAAGAACAGCAACGACGGCTGTCCTAGGCAGCTGCAGCAAAGAAAGAGGTGTGACAGTGAAGTGATGGGTGCTGGGAGGGAAAGATTGAGGATAAATGCTAACTTGGTAATGGTTACCGCCGGAGCACCACTCGATGCTTGGAAGAAGGTCACCACCTCAAACGAGTTACAATCGGAGAACTTTCTCTTCTTCAGATACAGGTCTAAAGGGGAACACCGGATGCCGGTGTCTGTTCTGACAGAAGTATGAGCCAAAAAACTAAATCTAGAACATCATGAATCACATCTATAAGCCTTAGATAAATAGGATTAGTTCCTCTTATGGAAAGGAGGTGCCAATGCCTTGTGGGAGAGCCGATCTGCGCTCCCATGTTTGGACCGGACGAAGGACATCGTGGGAGAAGCCATGCCCGTGGCTGCGGTGTTATTGGCGCACCCGCGCGGGCCTGGGCTTCCCCGCGTCACCCGCATTTGCAAATGACATTTAGTCAAAGAAAAATGAGATCTGCTTTCAGTAGTGAAGTCACTTCAACTTTCTTGCCTTATGGATCAACTACCATCGTTGAATGCATTAAAATTCCTCCGTTTAGATCTCAGAACTGGCAATATTTTTTAGCAAAGTGTCAAAATAGTCCTCTGACAATTTAGATGGAGCTGTTTTAGTCTTAGAATCTATAACAGTGCCAAATAATTCCCACATTCTTTAAATTAGGGCTCAAATAGTACTTCGTGTGGACAATTTCAACCCAATTAAAAGGATATGGGGACTAAACATACACTTTTATAGACTTTGGGACTGAAATGACCCTTGCAAAAAGTCTGGACTATTTTGACACCTTTTTAGTACGGAGAACTACATTTTTTAGCTGGTCTATATCCCTGAAATCATAAACCTTAGTTTTTCAGTCATTTGATTGACAGGTACGCCATTGATGCAATGCAATATACATGTATAAAAGAAACTGGAGATGTAGCAGACAATATTCCTGAAGATGCTTGTCTAATTCAACTAACCTTTGGTGGATACCTTCGGTCAGAGGTCCTTTCCCTTTCATTCTCTGCTTATAAAATTCCCAAACCCATCCCTCCTTCAACCACATCACCTCCCCTTTGCAGCGTATAGGAATTCTAAACTTTGTTTTTGCTAGATCAGATAAACTGCATGAAGTGCAAGGCCAAATCTGAGCAACTGGACCGTATGATGGATCTTACAGTCGAAATCCATGGGGATATTGGGACACTTGAACAAGCTCTTAAGCAGTTCACAACTACTGAAGTTTTGGATGGGCAGAACAGATACCGTTGCGACAGGTTTGTCCTTTTTAATGCCTTCGCCAGTATGACATGGTTTTGACGTGTCAAAGTAGTCCCTTGACTGTTTACTTGGGGTCACTAGCTCCAGAGTCTATAAAAGTGCCAAATTAGTATCATACTCTTTAATTTTGGCTGAAATAGTCATCCGTGGAGCTCATTGCAGCCCATATTAAAAAATTCTGGAGACTAAAATTGGTATTTTATAGATTCGGGATTAAAATGACCCCTTGTAAAGAGTTAGAAAATTATTTTGACATTTTTCTCCATGGTTCGGTATGGTTTGACTTTTTTAGCTTCTTTCAACTAGCATTGATTTTATGTGGAATATATGAAAACTCATTTTTCCGGGCAGCAATGGGTATCCCAATTCGATTTGGTTAGAAAGAGTTTTAATCATCTGGAAAACTAATGACTTGTATATTCATCTTTTTAGTATGCCATCAAAATTTGAATTGTCGTGGCTGGCTACTTGTCGGTAATGATGATAATAAGTTGTTATTGGATGAATTGATTAACAAACGCAAAATTGTAGTAAGGTTTCAAGGTTTGTAAACATAAGAATCTTATAAAGGAATAAATACGCAACTAAGATTATTTTCTAGAATTTTATCATATCGTGAAAAAACTATTCTTTAAGCCCTAAATCTGAAATAATCTGTTTCCTCAAATCCTGCACTTCAAATGGCGAACATTTCAGAAGTATTCGCTCATTTAATTACTTCTTGTATTTGTTGCAGATGTAAATCTTTTGAGAGAGCGAAGAAAAAATTGAGTGTTGTTGAGGCTCCTAATATCCTTACAATTGCACTCAAGCGTTTTCAGGTAAATGTGCAATTATAAATTGTAATGTATCAAACGGAGACTTTAGCTTATGGAATAAGTTGATTTATGTGTTTTTGAACCAATAATGCCATGAAGCTTATATCTGAGCTGCTTTTGTTTTTCCATTTAACAGGTGGGGAAGTTTGGGAAGTTGAATAAATCTGTTAGGTTCCCTGTTCTGCTGGATCTAGCTCCTTATATGAGCAGGGTGGATCAGTGCCCTCTGTACAACCTCTATGCTATTGTGGTTCATTTGGATGTCATGAATGCTGCTTTCTCTGGTCATTATATATGCTATGTCAAGAGCATGAATGGCAAATGGTACATGATTAATGATAGAGAGGTATGTTTTGTTTTTCATTTTAAGCTTTGTTATTTAACAAATCTGGATAATGTTTCTTTTTAGGAACATTTATATTCATACAACTTAATTCCTATGTATTTACATAGCTAATTTATAAAGTTCAATTTTTTCATACATTCCATCTTATCTATGCATGAAAATCTGTATTTCACTTTTTAAAAGTTAAAATAGTGATATTTTTTATGTGAATAGTGATTAAAATAGTGATATTTTTTATGTGATATGAAAGATTTTAGTGGTATACGTGTAAAAAGCAAAATTTTGGTGTTAGATATGTGCATGCATGTGAATTGGGTGGTATATATGTAAATGCCTTTTTTTTTGTTTAAACGAACCCTCTTCAGTCCCCGTGAAAAAGGATAATGTAGTCCTAATACAACCTCTCTATCTGCTTTTTTTAATATTTAATTTTTTGCAATTTTTAGTTTATTTCTTCGCCCACATCTTTTCTTAATGACCTTGGCACTAATCAGCCTGTATTTCCTTAAAGTTTATTTATATTTTCTTATATATTTATAAGACGCGAGAGGCTTCATCATGTTCCTACTTTTGCTTATCTCTACTTCCTTTCCTCTTCAAAAAATTGTTTTTCCACTCATGTAAGACGTCCATAAACCAAAATGACAATTTTATCTTCCTTTTCTCCTCATCGTCATTCTCCTCTGTATTAAAGCTGAACTTGCCATTCTTTCCTGTGAAATGCTCCTGCATGATGGTGAGGGCAGCTTTTTTTTTTTCAAGGTGCATTTATTTACATACATACCACACAATTCTTATGTATTTACAAATCTACACCTAAGTATTCATATTCACATGCATATCACTCAAATTTTAAACATCGAATCAAAAACACTACTATTACTCTCTCTTTAAAAGTGAAATACATTTTTTCATGCATTAATTTATGACGCCAAGCTGTTATAACTATAAATATAAAACCTTAGGTGTTAAATATTTAAATACGTAAGAATTGTGTGGTATGTATGCATATTTCTCTTTTTTTACTAATAAGAGAACAATTTCATTCACTTTTAATCTAAACTCTCTCTTAATATGCTGCTTTTCATGCATTTTTCCTATAGGTAATCCCAGTGGATCTGGAGAGAGTCTTAAAGGAAAACGCCTACTTGCTCTTTTATGCCAGGTAACCTTCACTGACCATAAGCCTACATTTGTTATAGATTCTCTTTTGGCCGTGCAAATTCAACATTTCCATTCCCTTAATTAGAAAATCATCCAAGCCCCCAAACCTCTCCAAGAATGAAAGACGCCAAGCTCCATTAACGCCTTCAAGCTGGTTCAAAAAGCCTGCAAATTCCATGCACGACGCTGGATCATCTACATCCCATCGAAATTCGAGCTCTACGACACAAAGGAACCATAATCAAGTCCTTCATGAGGGGCTCTACTTTCCTCGCACGGATTCGTTCAGCGATAGTTTATCCTTCAGCTGCTCCGAAGAAGGTTCATGGACGACCGAGAGCATGAGGAATTCGACGAGCACTGACGAGCTATCCGACTACTTATTTGGAGGCTCACAGACGTCGAGATGGAGTCGACCGTCACACTTATCGAATGAATCTGATTATATCACTCATTCACCTTCTTCATCAAGACACTATTTTCATCATGAAGAATATGGAGAGGGTTTGGAAGATATGGGAAACCAGTCTTTCAGCCATTTGTATTATGATAGAACTATTAATGGTGGTATGTTCACAGAAAACCACAGACAGAAGGAGAACTATTGGAACAGCCCTTATGGGGAGAGGTCCAGTGTGTTAATGAGAAGTTCTAGTGTTAGGGAGAGAAGACATCAAACGTTGTATTAATTTTCTAGTTTTTAGTTCTGTAAAGAAATAAGCTGTCAGATGTATTTTTGAATAAAGTTATTTTTCGATTTTTTTTTTTTTTTTTGGGAATTTACATCCATACCATCAACTCATCTGTATTTATATATTTAATACTTACATTTTATGCCACCCAAATCTTTCATATCACATAAAAATATCAATTTTAATTTTTAAAAAGTGAAATATATCTTTTTTTGAAATATGTATTTTGCATTATTATATATAAAAAAAGTACAAAACTATGCAGGTATGTAATTATGATGTGTAAAAGTGAGTCATATCATCTGCAAGTATAATAGAAAGGTCCCTTTCATCATTTATATGTAATAAAATAAAAAAGCCATTAAGAGCACATTTAATACAAAAATGGATGGCCATATAACAACAAAATCTGATGAATCATGTGGTGGTTGGCTCCAAATATCTCGCTTTATGGTTGATCTCAAAAAGTGAATGATGTTGATGTTGTCGCTTTCAACAATAAGACCCATGTTGCCCAATATCCAAGGTTGGCAAACTTGTTGGAAGATAGTTTGTAATTCCATATGCGCGCTGTCCCAATGTTCAAATGAGTGCTCAGCCGCAACAATACCACTACCCCGATCATCACGAACCACCAACCCAGTACGGGTTATTCCAGAAGGAATAAAAGCACCATCCACATTCACTTTTAGCCACCTATGAAAACCGACCTGTCGGGCCGGCTAGCATCCCATTGCTCCAGAAAAGGATAAAGTGGTGTGTTAGTAAATGCCTCAAGAATATTAACTGTAATAACAGTTGGCGTGCCATAGGTAAAATTATGCACTTTTGCATATCGAACCTTCAACAAAAAATCGATGATATAGCAAAAATATCTAGCATGCGACACTCCACTTTTAGGCACCTTACTAAGCTTTCTGATAGCCTCACTAAACTTATCGAAATGTGGAGTAGAGAATCCCTAGAAGAGCAAACTATTGCTAGTCCTGTGAAAAAAAATGAACAATTAGTAATAATATAATCTCTAGCCTCAAAATCAGGACATCCCCATGGATAATTGATGGTGTCTGCAAGCCTCCTTCAAGCAAGCCAAGTACGGGTCAGTAGAGCTTCATGAATAAAGCATCACCAAAACATTCTTCCAAGGATGCATATGAAGTTTGTTACCCGAGAGAATTAGAAGAAGCTCTAGACTGTCCTCTGCAGTGTCATGATAAATGGTTATACCCAAAATTTTCATACACAGCTCCTCGCCATAGGCCTCACGAAGCACCTCATCATTCTAATGCAAAACCCACCTATCTTCAATAGCATCAATATTAAGAGGGCATGGCTATTCAGAGAGAGGCAAATCCTGTATCAAGATTCAATCCATAGCATTAATTTTGTTCCCATTAGCAATCTTCCACTGAACAACATGTTGGAGAGCCTTAACACCATTACATAAAATTTTCCAAGTAATAGAAGTGTTTCTTTTAGAATTATGAATCCAAATATTATCACCATAAATGCTTTTAATTAACCTGTGAAATATAGAATCGTTACATTGTATAAAGTTCCAAGCAATTCTTGCACAAAGTGGGCCTAACCAATTTCTATAAGCATGGAATCCAAGGCCCCCATGAGAAAGAGGACTACAATGATTCTCCCCAGTTTCATCTATAACATTAGAGGGCACCTCAAATGAGTGATAGCATACATGAGAATGAGAAGTAAGGATGAATTTATAAAAGTGGCTCTGCCAACTAAAGAAAGATGCCGCATCCCCAAGACACTAAATTCAACAGTAGCTTTTTGAATATACATTTTCATGTGTAAGTAAGGTTACATGTAAAAATTGAATATGTAAATACATAAGAATTGAGGGCTATGGATGTAAATCCTCTATTTGTTTTTTAGGGTAGGTGCTAAATATATAACAACCAAAAGTTTAATGTACTTGTGCCTTCTGAGACTTGTAGCCTTCTGAGGTCTTTGAGTGTACATGTGCTTTCTGAGGTGTTTGATGCACTTGTGCCTTCTGGGCTTGTAGCCTTCTGAGGTCTTTGAGTCGATACCCTATCAACCACTTGCTCTCATGGAGTCTTTCTAGCGAGGACCCTGTCCATAACTAGCTTCCCATCGAGACTTGTCTCTTGGGCTCGTCTTCCAGGGGTATGTTAGCTTCTCATTGAGTCTTGCCTATTGGACTTGATTTTTAGGAGTACCATATCTTCTCGTCGAGTCTTGCCTCTTGGGCTTGACTTTTAGGGGTATAGCTTCTCATCCTCAAGAGCGTTTTCTTCACAAAAATCTTTCGTGAGAAAATAAAAAAATTTCATTGAAATGATATTTTAAGGTAACATAAAAATTTTGCTAAAATAAAATTAAGAGTTTATAAGCCAGTTTTTTACTCAAATAATATAAGTTGGAGTTATACTTCTCATTCAATAACTCCAACAGTTCTCTTTTGGTTCCTCTCACATTGTTTTTGTAAATAGCAACCTAGGTGACATTGGCGTATTAGACGTTCAATTTCTTCATTTAATTGAAAACATCTTTCTGTTGAATGTCCTTTTGCATGGTGGAATTGACAATATTGAGACTGGTCTCCACCATCTAGATTTCTTAACGACTTTGACCACTTGACAGTCTCTTCATTTTTTATTGCCATTAAGATGTTAAAACGTGACGTGTTAGTGGCGTGTATTCTTTTTATGATCGTTGCTAACGATTCCCTTGTGGCCTAAACTTTTTTCGTTGGGAGAATTGATTGGTATCCCCAACATTATTCTTGCGCTTGCCCCCAATCACTCAAATTGTTCCTTATGAGTAATGATGGCCTTATCTGCAGAGATTTGTGCCTCAACACGGTGAACAAGGTCAGCATAAGAATGAATCGTCTCCCGCATAAAAGATGAGTAGAAAGGTCCTGGGTGGAGCCCCCAAGTAAGACTCCTCTTAGTAACTCTGGATCTACTCCCGGGATCTGTCGGGCTTTAGTAGAAAACTTGCGGAAGTAATCAGTCAATGATTCTCCTTTGCTTTGACGAATTCCTGAGAGATGGGATGAATCCTTGATGATTCGTTGGTTTGCTACGAACTGTTCTACAAACAGTCTGACAAGCTCATTAAAGGTGTTTACAGTGCCCCATGATTCGAGCTTGTCTTTTAAGAGTAACCGAGAAAATCGAACACAGAAGTGCACAGAGGCACGCTGAATGTGCATGGTAGTGCGATAATGATCAATATTGTCGTAGGGGTCGGTTTTTACTTCATCTGGAAGCTTGAAGCCTGTTGGGATGGGGTGTTGGAGGACCGCATCCACTAAGGGAGATGATTCATGTATGTTGCGGTGAGTGTAGAAACAATCCTTTTTTCTCTAGGGGAAACGCTTCCTGGACGAGACAATGTAGTTCATTACGAATGATATCATCTGAAATGGCAGGAAGATGTGGCGATGTCGGATGAACTGCACGAGATAGATGAGTGGAACTTACGGTATCTAGGAGTTCAACATCACGACCTGACAGGGGATGTGTTCCTTCTTGAGGAGGCAGGTCGGTACGAGTTCCTCCGAGCAGTATGTTTCTCATACGTCGTGGAGTTAATGGCTAATGGGGTGGGCAGCGGTTGTTGAGCCCCACGTAGGAGCCGTAGGATTTCTAATTGAGACTCCTCCATTCTACACATTTGATTTTCTATAGAAAGACCTGAAACACCTTCGTTGGCAGGATAGCGTCTTCTAGGGCGGAAAAATGAAGAAGCATGCCGCCCTTGGTGTCGTGACTATTCCCTCAAATAAATGGTGTTGGAGCGGGATGTTCTGTTATCACGAACATTGTGTCTGGTGGCCATGTAGTAAACCGCGTAAGTACTTTAGTTGTGGGATTGAAACTTTCCCACAGACGGGGCCAAACTGATGTGTGCTAGAAAATTCGCGGTGGTAGAGTAATGGATTATCATCTTAGTGTTGCGCTAGGATTCATCACATACTCAGATGAAAATGAATCAAGTTGTGACGACACCAGAAGTTTTTACGTGGAAAACCTATAAAGAGCAAAAACCACGGGGTCTGACCAAGTTGTAAAAATTCACTATAAGTTGATGATTATAGATGCCCCTTGTCCCACAGGCGGGAAAGCATTACTAGCTTTCTAAGTTACATTGTCGATTGACGACGTCTAGTCAGCGGTGGTCGACGGTGATCAGGTAATCGATGACGGTCAGCGGTGGTCGATGGAGGTCAGTGGTGGTTGACGACAGTCGATGACGATCGACGGTGGTGGGCAGAGGTCGGCGGTGATGGTCGACGGTCAGTGGTGGTTGACGGTTAGTGGTGGTCGACGACGATCAACGATGGCAGAGATGATCTTGGAGTTGAGCTCATTCTCAAAGCCTCAAGTTCTCTCTTAAATCTCCTCTTTTCATGTGAGGGGTGAGGCTCTATTTATAATGTTTTGAGTGTAGTTAATGCAGGAATATGAACCATTTTGATCGGACGGTCCAAAGAGCTTCTCTTGATCAGATGACGTTTGATGGACATTTTGAGCGCCTTAACGATTTTGGAATTGACCAATCTTGGGCTCATTGCATTCATCTTGTTGAGATGCTCGATTCGACTATGAACTCGCTAGATTCGACATCCGTTTGACATTTCAAATGTCTCCGAAAATCCTCCAAGTGTGGTTTAATGATTTGATTTGGGCTTGATTTGACTTGGATTGGACTCTTTTATATCATTAGGTCCGTCTCATCAAGCCGATCAGTTTGACTATAAGTTTGTTGAAATTGGAGCTCTGGATGACTCTTAATAGAAGTTTGAATGTTTCTTGTTTAAAAAATTGCATCGAGATTCGTGCTGACTGATGAAAATTTGTTTGTGACATATCAAAGGCCTACAGAGATTCTCCCCAGTTTCATCCAGAACATTAGAGGGCACCTCAGAATGAGTGATAGCATACACGGGAATTAGAAGTAAGGATGAATTTATAAAAGGGGCTATGCCGGCCAAGGAAAGATGACGCATCCCCCAGACACTGAATTCAGCCGTAGCTTTTTGAATATACATTTTCATGTGCAAGTAAGGTGACATGTAAAAATTGAATATGTAAATACATAAGAATTAAGGGCTATGGATGTAAATCCTCTCTTTGATTTTTGGGGTTGATGCTACATATCTAACAACCAAAAGTTTAATACTTACACTTAATGTAACTGCAGCAAACATTTAACGCCAAATTAGACAAGTTAAAATAGATTAATGTTTCAACACAGCCACTTTGTACCACCAGCTTCTTCTGTTAACCTTGTATCGAAAATGACTTGGTGAGCTAGGGTAGTGAGCTAGGCGGCATTTACAAACATACCACCCAATGCCTACGTATTTACAGATCTAACATCTAGATTTTTAACATTTATACCACCCAAGTATTTCATAACAAATAAAAAAAAATATTATTATTTTGGACTTTTGAAAAAGGAAATATATGTAAGAAATTAAAGTTTAGCTATTAGATTTGCAACTATATTGAGTGGTATTTATGTAAATCTTTTTTCTTTCATTTAGGTGGTCTTAGTTTCCCTTCATATATGGAAATCTTTCTTTCTAGGAGAAAAAAGGAGTTGAATTTTTTAGTGAGCTAAATATTACTCCAATTGAGTAAAAGTCTTACCATCTCAAAAATAGTCATTAATTTATAGCATTTAAAGTAAGAAAAGTCAAATATTTTAATGCACTCTATAATTATAATTTTTTCTTTGTATTAGAACTTCTTTTTTTCTATTTGTGTGATTTCTTGTGTTATGTGTTGGTTTGCTGCTTATGACTTTAGATTGATCCAATATTAATTAAGGGTCCATTGTTTAAAAAGTTGCGATGACTATTACAATTTTTTTTTTTAAAGTGTCACTCCACATAGCCAAAATCGGTGGAAGAGAGCAGATTTCAGCGGCAGTTTTTTGAAAAAACTGTCAAAATACGGTTTACCCAAACAGATACAACCGCCTCAAACGGACTCTAAATAGTTGTTTTCTCCTAATAGAGATGAGGATAATTGGAGTCGTAAAAAAACACGAACAATAATGCGTTCGTTCGTGTTCGAATCGTTATTGTTTGAAATATAAAATAATATAAAATAATTATATATATATAATTTATTATATTTTAAAACATTAAATTTTATAAATTATAATATATAATAAAATAATAATAATAATATATTAATATATTATAGTAGTAATATACTAATATAGATATTGTATATTTATACAATATAAGTTATATAATTAATATATAATATTATTTTTATATATTAATATTAGGGATGTCAAACTGGCTTGTCGTTCGCGAACAGCTCTTGCTCGGTTCGTGTTCGGCTCGTTCGTTAAGAAACGAACACGAGCTTATTTCAAACAAACTAAATTTTAAACGAACTGAACACGAACACAAGCTTTATTCGTTCGTGTTCGGTTCGTTTACACCCCTAGTCCTAGGGATGATTTATGTCATATAGAACATAAGAACATCATAAAGATCTATTAAAGTGGTTTTAGTGAGCTTGGGGTCATCTTTTGATTTATGTTGGGTGAATAAAGAGTATTACTCAGTAGTATTTATGTATGGAATTGCATTCTTAAAATACAATCAATACAAAACAAAAATTAAAAAAAAAAAAAAAAAAAAAAGGAATCGTCTGCTCCATTCTTCTTTGTATTTACTTTTGTTTTGTGTCAAATTGGTTTCGAATTTTTGGGCTGATGAAATATTACTCGATTAGAGTGCTATTTTACTCCCTAGAAAAAGTTTTAGCAGTAAATCAACGGAAATGAAATGAGAAAAATTACTTATTTTAATGTAACATTTGCTTGTGATTATCTTAAAATGTTGACTTGATATTAAATTTTTAGATATATACAACATTACTATAGAAGAATAAGCTTTCCTTGAAGATTCATCAGATTATTATGCTATAATTTATTTTTTTATTTTGTTTGATCTAGAAGATTGAAAATTTAGATGATATTTACATAATTTATAATTACGAAATGTGTTTTTCTTGGATATTTAATTGAAATGCATATATACAAAACCATATACAAAACCAAAAATTTTTTTTTTTTTTTTTTTTTTTTTTTTTTGATTCGGTCATATTATGAACTATTCACACAAATCCCACATCCGATCTCATTAAAAAAAATGCATTTTGATACAAGTAACTAATAATAAAATTCAATTTAAATTGAGTTCTAAAAAAAAAAAAAAAAAAGATGCTGATGAAAAATAGTTAGGATAATTCTCAAAATCGATAAATCTACATTAAAAAGTTGAGTTGAATTGACCAAATTTTGGGGGCCAAGTTCATCGAGTTTTAAGAGATGAGTTCAAGAGACTTAAGTTCTTTGGGCCGAGTTAGCGGAACTAAAAAATAGTTTTAGAAGGTGAGTTCTTTCAGAGGCCGAGATCCAAGGCTAGGTTGGTCGAATCCTAAAGACTAATTCTAATTTCTAAGTGTTGAGTTTCTACTCTCTTGACGAACACACATTTCACATAGAGCCACACGAAATAAAAGCAATTTATCTCCTAAGAGGCAGACAGTCTTCTATACTCTAGTTACCCAAGAATTGATGACTCATATCTTTATGTACGCTTTACTTAATTTTTGTCATATCTTATACTAAAATAAAATACAGTCCTATGCCTATATAAATGGAGCAAAAAATTTGGATGAGAGGGGAGGAGCTTCTTAAGGAGGGTTGGGAACATCACTTGCGGAATCTCCTCCTTTCATTTGAGAGTCTCTCTCTCCTCTCGTTGTCCCTCTTTCTCCACAAATTTAGGCATAACCAACCAATATATCTAGACCAACAAAATGAGCGTCATATACATGCAACTAATTTTAGACCCATCTTAAAATTGACAAATGAGTTTGAAATCCATCCTATCAAAAATTTTAACAAAATATTTTACTTTTTCAAACCTCTAAAATACATTAATTTCAATCACTCAATTTTTTTCTTATATCCATCCACCCATCCTAATTAAATTTTCAGTAGAATATCAAAACTAAATCTTTTTTTACTTCCTCAAAACTCTAAAAACCAAGTCCATACTGAATCTAACTTACACCATTACCTCACAAAAATCCTTTTTTCTTATTCTTTCTGATAATTTAAACACCAATCAATATTCATTAAACTAAATTTGGAAACCTTTCTCATCTTTCAGATTCATAAACCGACTCTCGAATCCTATAAATACAACAGCGATGGAAATAGCACTCCACCTCTCCTCACCATTCTCCCTCCTCCAATGCAGCAAATTCCAAACGACGACCTCTCCTATCCTCCGCCGGCGAAGCGGGGCCGCGGCCGCCCTCCTGGTTCAAAGAACAAGACAAAAGAACAAGACCAAAGCCGCCTCTTTTCTCCGCCCTCATGTGCTTGAAATCTCTCACGGAGCTGATATCGCAGAAGCCGTGAAGAACTTAACCCGCAACCTCGGCGGCTACGTGCATATTCTCACGGCCAACGGCCCCGTTTCCTCCGCCGTGTTAGAACAACCATCTTGCTCTTCTTCTTCCGCCGCCGATATCACACTTCGCGGTTGCTACGAAATTGTCTCCATGGCGAGTTATTTCCTTGGCAGCGGCGGAGGCGGAGAAGGGACTATTGCGGTTACTATGGCGGGGATGAATGGGGAAGTTGTGGGTGGGATTTGGAGCGGGGCGTTAGTGGCGGCGGGGAGGGTGGTTGTGGTGGTTGCGGAGTTATTGAATCCGACGGTTCATGATTGGTCGGAGGTGAAGGAAATAGATTCGGGAGAGAAGCGAGAGCTGCGAAACGAAGAAGAGAAGTTTGAAATGAGGACTGGAGATGAAACTGCGAGTTCAGAGATCGTCGGCGTTGGTGGGGATAATGACGAGTGGTGCAGAAACTGGTTAGGGTAATGTGAAAGGGACGTGCGGCGATGTTTAGACTTCCCGAAGTCCGGCGAGTCGGGATCTGGATATGGGCGTGGGATATGAGGGGTGGTTATTTACCTTCTGAACCCACCTCAGAGTTTTAGGTTGTGTTTTTGATTTCTTAGGCCAATATATATTTTTTTTTTTGGTTACGGGAAATTGTTTAGAATATTTTCTATTTAATGAGTTCAATGATGTTGCTTATTTGTTTATTTTATAAATATTTTATTGTTAATGATGGACTAATATATATATATATTGTGATGGTGGGGATAAATATATTTGGAATGGGAGGGGCATAATGAAAAGGAGAATTTTAATTCAATATTTTTGGCGAAAGAATATTTATAAATTTATTAATAAGAATTTTGTGGTGCTCTTAAATTTCAACTCATGTGAATTTTTATAGCTAATATAAATTTTTTAAATTATTTTGGGTGATACCTATTTGATTAGTATTGAGAGTGATTTTCTCACAAGCAAACGTAGAGCTCGCCCGTTAGACATATGTCTTATTTGGGGTAGTTTTTATTTTTATTTTTATTATTTTTTTTGAAAACAACTGTCATTAGCGTTTGGGGAGCATCGTTTTCATGGTCTTTTGGAAATTTGTGTCGTGTTTAGCTTGCGTTTCGTGGTGCCAAGTAAAAAAGGATGGTGCTTCACAAGCTCATTACATGAAATTACTCACCTAAACCCTGATTTTTCCATGACATCCACTGCTAACCTCTTGTTTGATGATGTCCTTTCTTATCTTAGTACCTAGGATCTAGCCTTAAGATTTCTTATTCGACTCATAGAGGACTAGTACTTGGACCCACACCAAGTAGAAATTCAAGCCACTTGATGACTTCTTGTAGTCTCTTATGGGCGATTTCGAATCCTCAACATTTGGTTGAATCGATTAAAATTAACATATTGAAACTCAATTCGAGTTCCTATTATAATTAGAAGAGCCATAAGAAAACCCTGCAACACGTGACGAGTGACTTGTTGCCGAGAGCGGCCTGCTTAACTTTGATTGTTGCTTAGGCGAGAACCGATCAGCACGTTGCTCGTTCAAAATCCTTCACTTGTCGTACCGCACGAGAATTGAATTGAAATCAACACGATCACCAAGGAGCTTGTCCAGATGACCCCAAATGATGAAACAGATCGTGTGAGCGCGTCCAGAGTGCCGGTTTTGCCTAAGAAGATTACTCATTTTGATTCGGTTCCGTGCGCGAATCATATGTAAATCGATGCATGCACCTTGAATCTAACAAAAAAAGAAAGAAAAAATAAATTAATAAAAAAGAGGGGAAGATAATTCATATTTTAAACTAAAGCATTCACGTATCTCCCTGACCCTGGTCCTCCTCTTCCGTGCGATGTCTTGGTTCACTCGAAGCTTTTCCTTCACACGAGAAGTTGACTTCCTGTTCTCTTAGCCCGAAAATCCTTCTTCCCTCTGTGCCCGAAGCTTTTGCTCCCTACGCCCTTTGTCGGGTTTCTGGTTTTGTGTTTGTTTGTCTTTCCAAAATCATATGTATAATCCTTGCCCGACTAAAAAACCTCTCCTTCTTCTTCTTAAAGTCGTGAGCTGCCTATTCTTTTGGAGAGGATCCTCGACACATCATCTGTCGGCTAACCTTAACCTGCTACCGGATCTCTCACGAAGAAGAGGGCGAAGATGAGAGAAAATCTCCACATCCGGGGCGGGCAATGCGGCAATCAGATTGGAGCCAAGTTCTGAGAGGCATCTGCTTACTATTGCTTGGAGCCTGGTTTTGTAGAGGCAACGACATGATTATTGTTTCTAAATTTGCTTCCTAGGCTAATGCGGTAACCGTTTTACCCGAGTGAACTCGAAGAAGCTCCAGACTGTCCTCTGCATTGTCAAGATGAATGGAAATACCCGAAATTTTTATACACAGCTCCTCGCGAAAGGCCTCGCGAAGCACGTCATCATTCCAATGACCATCCATAATAAATTGTGAAACCCGCCTATCACCAATGACATCAATATTAGAGGGCATGTCCATTTGGAGAGAGGCAAATCCTGTATCCAGATTTTATCCATAGCATTAACTTTGTTCCCATTAGCAATCGTCCACCGAACAACATGTTGGAGAATCTTACCACAATTACATAAGATTTTCCTAGTAATAGAAGTATTTCTATTAGAATTTTGCACCAAAATATTATCGCCATAAAGGCTTTCTAATTAACCTGTGAAATAAAGAATCCTTACATTGTATAAAGTTTCACACAATTCTTGCACGAAGCAGTCACATCCAAGTTCTATAAGCATGGAATCCCATACCCCCATGAGAAAGACGCCTACAATGATTCTCCTCAGTTTCATCCAAAATATTAGGGGTACCTAAGAATGAGTGATAGCATACACAAGAATGAGAAGTACGAATGAATTTATAAGAGTGGCTCTGCCGGCCAAAGAAAGATGCCGCATCCCCAGACAATGAAGTTAGTCGTAACTTTTTGAATATACATTTTCATGTGTAATTAAGATGACATGTAAATATTGAATATGTAAATACATAAGAATTGAGGGCTATAGATGTAAATCCTCTCTTTGTTTTTTTGGGGTTGGTGCTACATATCTAACAACCAAAAGTTACTTACACTTAATGTAACTGCAGCAAAAACATTTAACGCCAAATTAGACCAATTAGACCAAAAAAAAAAAAAGACAAGATAAAAAGATTAATGTTTTAACACAGCTAAAAATTAAGAAAAATCAAGTATTGTAATGCACTTTGTACCACCAGCTTCATATGTTACCTTGTATTGAAAATGATTAGTGAGCTAGGCGGCATTTACAAACATACCACCCAATGCCTACGTATTTACAGATCTAACATCTAGATTTTTAACATTTATGCCACCCAAACATAAAAAATAAAAAAATATAATTATTTCGACTTTTAAAAAAAGAAATAAATGTAAGAAATTAAAGTTTAGCTATTAGATTTGCAACTACATAGGAATCGAGCGGTATTTCAGTAAATCTTATATATATA